AAAAAACTCTTCAAGGACATGTTATTTTCGTTCCTAGAGGCTGAGGATTACTATGTTGAATCGCCCCTTCTATTTCAAAAAATTACTAATTATAAACTGGCTTTATAATTTATATTCTACATTGTAGTGTTACTATTTTCTTATGTTTAATGATGCAGTTGTATATACGAGTTTTAAGTGGCTGTCTTTTTCTGGAAATGTTATTAATTTATGTTTAAGCTTTATTTGTACTCTATCACCACTGCTGTACCTCTAATTCTTGCCCGCCTCGACTAGCTCCTCCTATTTGCGGGCGTGAACGGTCTTCATGAACATGAAAGTGTAAATTAGATCAATAATAATTAGATTAATTAAATTAATGAGATTAATTTGTAATTTGTAATTTTCTTATTAAGCTTTCTTTCTTATTAAGCTTCAAACTTCATGAAAGTCAGAACTGATTCTATAGGGTGGTGGAAAGTAGGTGGGAGGGGTGGAGGTTTGAATAAGGCAATCTCCTGGTTATGGGGAATGGACCTTACCTGAAATCAGACGTTGTTTCTCCTCTCCCTTGAACAGCCAAACTTTACAAACCATTTTAACGAACGATCTTCGCCACCGTGTACCACTGTTGATAGACAACTGCATCTGGAAACTTCTTCCAAGTACAAAATTGAAATATTATGATTTCTGCAATATGCCAAGAGGTGCTAAAGGTTACGATATTATAAATTGCCCTCTGACTGGTTGCTATGAGATATATGCGTTATTAACGAAGAGTGAGGTCAAGATGGCTTGATATTGGCCAGGTTCTGTTTTTGCATTTTTATGGACCGAGAAGAAGTCCATAAAATGCGAAAAAAGAACAAGGCTAATATCCAGCCATCTTGACCGAAAAAACTTAGTTTATAAAAGATCTATCTAATTGTAAAAAAATTTCGCTTCATTAAGAATTCAGAATGACTTCGAGAGCCAGAAAAGAGAGCCAACTGTGTTTGTTGCACAACAAACTCAGGAAAGTCGTTTCTGTTTTCTTTGTTTTGACTATCTTTTGCCGCTTTTTGCGTTTCTATTGCCGAAATTGTCCAAGAGTTACGCAGGTAGTTCTAGTTCAATTTTTTTCATACGCGGGATCAATGCGGGAAATCCCGAGTGGGCAAAATGGGCCTATATTGCCCGCTCGGGTAGCCAACCAGAACACAGGATTCGCTTCATCTTGCCCACGGGCGCTGCGAACGATGTAATAAAACTGTCAACAGCTACTTTATAATGATACGGGAAAATTTAGGGATTTTTCCGTGTGGTTGTTTAAGCATACTTATCCGTTGGGAAAGATTGCTATATAACCCCATACATAAATTATGCATTCCATTTCCTAAAGACTAAATATAAAGGTTTCTTTGCAAAACTCTATGCATAATTTGAATATATCAACAAAGTTGAAATGGTAAATAGGCCACCGTTACGATTATAAAAGCTGACGTTTCGAGCGTTAACCCTTCGTCGGAGCGAATAAGGGAATTGTGGGTTGTGTGTGCTTGTAAAGGCAGAAATAGAAACTACGTGATTGGTGGGAACATGACAACGAGAAAAACACGAATAAATTAGTGGAATGAAAAGCGTTCGTTGATACCTGTGGGATTTAGACTGCCGGTTTGAAAGATGAGCTTTTGTTCAAGAGTTTTGCAGCTTTCCGTGCTACCTAAGTNATAAAAAGCCACAGTAGTTTTTGGAAATAGATTTTGTATTACGCAGCTGTATCTCGTTACTTTTGTTGTTCGTTATTAGTGGAATTCTATGTATATAATTATTAGTGATCTTTCTGGAAAAATTGGTTCTCATGGGAGTTCGCAGCCGAGTTTAAACTCGTAATCTCAATTTCCTTTCATATGACCAAACTTAACACCAACCTTGCATAAATAAGCAGAAACTTTCATTGCCTTTTTTCAACTTGTTTTGTAAGCTGTTCTGTTGTAATTACAATAGGTATACTTTAAATATCGAAGCTGTGAATTCCCACCTAAGTTTCCTAATTTTAATGGCCTAAAGTTTATTGAACCTGCTCTCTCAATTCCGACATATGAATATTTAAATGTAAATCATTTAACGCCAAAGAGGCCTTTACCGTTCTTTTATAATCTTATTCAAATAATTTCAATTTAGAAGACAACAGAACTTCGCACCAGTTTTATATTTAAGTAATTACTTTGTAAAGGTTTTTAGATTACATCCTTGGTTACATCCTTGATTACATCTGGGATTACGAATTTGAGTACGCTAGAGGTCATGTCAGTTGTTGGCCTGATCTAGAATAAAGTTTACTGTGGAATCAAAAGATTGTTTCGTCCATGACGTCCGTAAAAACTCACTTGAAGGGGTCGCCTGTACTAGGAAACCATGACTAGTTCCCGTTCTCGCTGCCGAGTCGTCTCTATTAAGCTAGTTCTCCCCGTCATTGCTATGCCGTTCGCGAGAGGTCAGTTTGGGCGCGAAACCTATCGTCACAATATTACTTTGCACTTTTGGCACTTATAGGAGTTTTAAGACTTCCTAGGATTTCTAGTTAGACTAGTAATATCAGTCAATCGAGATAAGCCACGAGGCAGAGATTTTTTTACGAATTAAGTGTTAAGAGTAACTACGCTAAGGCGGATTTTTTGAAGTGTTCGTTTTTTCCTAGAGTTGCATGCTTAGAGGGAAGGAGTGGGGAGGGATGATAACTCCTTGCAAATAAGCGTGCACGCTTTCCGATAACTTTTCAGACTGCTTTGTTTTTCGTTAATCGATGGATGAGCTCAGTCAATTGACATTTTGTTTTTAGGCGAGCTCTCTGACTTATTCTTCATAGTATGATTTAGATGTACAAATTATTTCTTTAAGGTGAAAAATTTTATTACAAATTTATCTCCCCCACCCCTTATCCCGAATGAACGCTTCGGCCCCGGTGGGGCACTTATTCGAGGAATTCTTTAACATGCACAATGTTTCATACGCAGTTGAAAAATCTTGAGGGAATTAGATACAAATGGTTCCAAAAGCACAGGATTTAGATATAGAGAAGGGGTACCCTCAACCCCTCCCCCCGGCGATAGCTAATGAGTGGTCCCCAATATTTTGTAATTTTTGAAAAAGTGATATGGTGGAGAAAATTCAAGAGAAATTTCGAAAAGAGATTGTTCGACGACTTTAATTCCTTGGTAATCACCTTAAATGTGGCCGCCTCTATGACTGCTGGATTTGAACTAAAAAATGTTCTGGATGAAATACCTACAAACCTAACTCCCACCAATTCAGACAGAATAAAACAGCTGATTATCCTGACTACAAGAATTTGTTTCCATTAATCTGATCAACAGAGAAAGTCACTCTTGTTTGCACCGACAAAATGTGGTACATATTACACAGAGAAGGATAAGATGTGCTTACTGACTGTGTGGGAGGGCTGGAGCGGGTTGAAAACTTCGAAACGTTTTTTTCAACCTTAATTGAACCTAATTGCATACAGTGGACAACTACTGAAAAATATCCAACAGTTACAATTTTTTTTTTCAAGTGCGGGGGCGGGGGGCAGTCCAGGGGGACACGCGCACTACCTAGAAGCGCCAGTGGGAAAGATGAAGCGAATCCTTTGTTGTAATTGGCTACCCGAACGGGAAAGATCGGCCTATCTTGCCCGCTCGGGATTACCCACTTCCATCCCGCGCAAATTGGACGATTTACAAAGTTCGTTATTTAGGGCAATGCGGCAATGGAGTCGTAAAATCGGCAGGTACCTGTTGGAACTAAGAAAACATGCACGAGTTTCGTGAGCCGTTTATTGTGCAATAAAAACCATAAAATATAAAAGTTAGAACACAGAGTTACATGGATTTCCTAGTGCTCGGTAAAAGACAGGTCATTCTTGATTCTTATTGAAGCGATATAGATTTGCTATATGATAAATCCTTGATTAACCAAACTTGTTGGGTCAAATGGCTGGATGTTAGCCTTGTTCCCTTTTTTTGCCTTTTTAGGGACCTTGCCTTCGTCTCAGTCCTTAAGAATGGAAAAGAGAACTGTGCCATTCTCCAGCCATCTTGACCTCACGCTTAGCAAATAACGAACATATATAAAGTTATTTTGAAGATGCTTATAATGTTTAAGCTTTTTCTGGACTAAGGGCTTTCAAACCGGTTTAATATCTTACTTTCGTTTTTCTTGTAATGAATTTATGCATACAAATGAAATCGATTCAACACTAAAAAGAATGTGAAAAACTTTGCAAAATGGAAAAAAACATAACCACAACACACAGAGAAATTAGATCCGATGAGGGATAAAAATTATCTAAGAAAGATTTCCGGGACAAAACTTCACAAGGAAAATGCTTCTTAAAGTCCTTGATATTGAAACTTTTCAGTCCGTAATCAGTGATAAGCTAAATGCGTATGATTCAAAACTTCAGCGAACAAAAGACATCTCCTGGATACATTCGACGGGACTAGAACAAGTTTTTCCTTGACACGCGCATGATCAGAAAAAACTAAAACATTGTCGTGCTGCTATCTTAGCAAGTGATTAAACACTTAGATGATTATTCACGCAGAGTTAAATGAGGTATACTTTCCAAAGGAGAAAGATGTAAAAATCTCATATGTGCCGCGTTACGAAATACAAAATTATCAAAACTCATTGCTATAACACACCTGCCTTAAAAGAAGCTTTGAATCCCTTGTATAAAGTAGTAGAGTTTCTGTCACTCATGAACTGAACCCAAACCATGTTCCCTCGGCTCAGTATCGAGTTCGGCTTTGTACTTCCACACAGGCGACTAGTCAGGATTGGACCATAGTGGCCATATATTAGTTGAGGATCACCATCAACGACGGATGCTTCACGGAACTCAACATAATAATTTTTGCAATCCTCACTGTCTTCCAGTTCAAATATGTCGAAGTCTATCTGGACCTTCCGTCCCTCAGGAACGATTAAAAGCCACAGTTCTGCGTACCTTGGGGATAGTTCTCAATGTCAACTTTTGGTTTGCCAAACTCAATGGTGTCATCTTCGGTTGCAATTAGATAGTTGGTCTTCCCCACTCCAAAATGAAAAATTAATTATCGAAATTAATAAGGTTATCCCGTATGTAGCAAGAATGACATTCAGGTTCATGCCCTGCCATAGCTAGAGGGTGAACACCCTGTGGTTGGAGACTGATGGAGAGTCTAAAGCAGTAGGCTGCAAAAACCTGCCGGCTATAGCCGATGAAAATGGAGGGGGGGGGAGCTTGATGTCAAGAAAAGCTCTGGGACGCAAGGTGGGTCCTTGGTTGTTGTGTGTACGCAAAGCTCAGGAGTGAGAAGGGTGAGTTTTGGACTCCTCAGTCTCAAATTGAAGATTGCCCGTGGGTTGAAAGAGACGTAACACAGAAACAAAACTGGGTCTAATAGATTTAGTCAAGGCTTAGCGATAAACTTTCCGTCTTAAAAAATAATGCAATCGACAAAAAATTTTTCTTTTGCGGTTTAACTCTTTCAGTTTGCCTTTCTTTTTCTCAGTAGAGTCGCAACTGGACTTTGTAAAAGCCTCCTCCCAAACGATTGACTAAATTTCCACCCAGGGAAAGTCTTACATCCAAGCATAATGAATGTATTGCACTATCTTTATATTGAAATATTTTCTGTTTCTCCCTGCTTCCTCGATTGATTGACCTTTTGCTCCTTTTCTTGTTTGGTTGTTTGTTGAGTGTCTCATTCAAGATAACCATCAGCCGTAAAATGGCAAAAACATTTTGCCGATAGGCGTAAAAATTGGAAAATTTGAACCGTTAGTCATAGAGGAAGTTAACCGTAAGAAATTTCCCCTTGACTGTGATGGAAATAAATTAACCGTTAGCTGTGAAATGGCCAAAATTGTAACCGATAGCTGTTCCAGCCATCATCCTATTGAGACCTTCTTTGTATATTATTACCCACCTATGATGGACGCGGCTATGAAGGTGAAATTAAATCCTGTATAATGTACAGTATCATCCGACACGAAACGAAGATAGACCATCGATCCAGAAACACTGCTGTAAAATCTAGCTCTCCAGTGGACGTTGATGATATATCCCTGTCAATATTTGTCGCTATATCGTCCACATAGTTTAGTGCGCAGGTGTAAATCGCGGTAGGAACTTCCCCTTTGAAGATAGTCGCACTTGCAATCAGAGCACATTTCTACGTTTAACCAGAGAAAAATATCACGAACCGTTATCATTGGCTTCCAGCTCTTATCAAACTTAAAGACAAAATAAAGTATGATCCATGATCGATGAAGACAAATATAATTTTCAATCACTTTGAACCTATTTACAATGGTTTTATCCGTTGTCGGACCGTGTTGGGCCTGAAAAATCCCATTACACGTTTGTTTGATTGAGAATGGTAATTGAACTGAGTAATGAGCCCGTCGGACAAGTGCAATTTACAGGCTTTGGAAAATTTACGAGTTATGATTTATCCCAAATTTTACTAGAAAAATCATGTTATCAAAGCAAAATTATCATTATTTTCCTCTCTAGTAGTTTTTATTACGTATCATAGTTCACTGGTTTTGCCGTTTGCCTTTGGCTTGTTGCTGGAGTAGTCGGGCTTCTCCCTCAAGAGCTTGCCTCAAGCTTTTAAACTCTCTGTCACAAATAATCGAGCGTTTGTACTTTTTCTTTGTTAGGTATCGGTCGACAGCAATAACCATCATACCAAAGCTTAAATGTTTGCATGCTGTATATTGTTAGGTCTGAAATCATACGCGTAATTTCAAAATCGAGAGGGCGCGTAGGGCTAGTTTGATTTGAAATCACAAGTATGATTTCAGACCAAGATTGTATGACACAGAGTTCAATAACCACTTTATTACATCCATTCTGAAAACGCAAAATTCAGTCCCTCAAATACAGGAATTTTCATTCCGTAGAAATATTTTATTGATCCAGTACTGAGCTGGTTTGTAAAATGTTGCAAAAGTTGTCCTTCCTTTTCCAGCAATTTAATGAGTTACCTTAAAGAATCCTTGAAATCTGATTGGTTGTTGTGTTTTAGTGAAGCTGTTTCATTGGCTGGGGAAAGATGCGATTAAGAGCAAAGGGTGCAATTCGTGAATAAATTGCACCATTGAGAGCCAGGCAGATTGCAAGATTTTTTTTCTTAATGAATGTGAAAAAGATTTTCATAACTATATTGTGATAATGATTATCAGCATTATTGTCAGTCATTATCATAACATCAAATTAAAATACGAAAGGCAATCTGGTAATTGCGCCAGGTACTCGAAGCGTTACAGCTCAATCAGATGCAGCTTGATCCACAGAATATTTTTATATTCTAGTCCTCTTATTAGTCGTGGGTACGCGAAGCGTACAAACGACTATTAGAATGGGGCAGTATATGCAAATGTGTCACTCACTCAGATGTAAACAAATCGATATGTCGACGGCAGATCAATATTGATAGCGACCTTCCGAAATTATACGGGGACGCCTCTATCACATTTCCGAAGTAATGCTGTGACGTTAAAATTTAACTCGACCTTTTATCGAAGGAGTTTCGATTTTAATTAAAATACTCGTCACAGTTAGCACATGTGTAACCGAATTAAAGCTCTTTGAAAGCCTAAAGGTGTAACTATGAGTGAAGACGCTTAATACAATCGCTTTTCCGCGATCGTCTTTCGCCATCATTTGCATTATTGGGGAATATTCCTCGCTGTTCCCGGGTATGTTTTGTTTTTAACAAAGCGTCCAGGTCACAACCGTTCTTAAATACAGTTTCAAGCCATCTTTCTTCTCACTGCGAGCCGTCAGTATTTATATCGTTATATATCGCTAAAATGAGTAAGCGGCAATTTTTTATAGGGGAAAGCGAAGCGTTGTTTTCGTGACTGGTCAATTGTTTACTTTTCTGATGGTTTTACCTCTCGTCTTTTTGGTGACTACGCAGACATTAATTTGTGAAAATCATTGTGTGTACACCCCTGAACGTTAAAAATATATGAAGTCCAAGGAACAGTTTTGGTCTAAGTCAACATTTTTGTTAACAATTTGAAAATATACTCATATCGGTTTAAAAGGTGAAGAGTTCGTAACATACAAAAGCTGTCTTTTTTTTTTTTTAATATACGATGGCTTCAAATTCTATTTGAGAACGATTGTGGCCGCTTTTTTAAAAACAGAATTTAGTGGCCACTTTGTTAAAAACAAAATATGCGAAGAAACGGGCAAGGAATATTCCGAAATAGTGCAAATGATCATCAAAGTGATTGCTAATAGGCGATTGCGTGACACTCGGTAAGTTGTAAGATGACATATGTTATCATGTATCAGACGAAATAACAGTTTTCAAAATTTCCAGTCTGCATTCTGTACCCAATCTGCAGTTTGCACCTAGTCTGCATTTCGTACCCGGTTTGCAGTCTGTATTTTGTACTGACCGATAGCTAAAATGTGAACTGTGACCATTCAACTGTATCCAGGAGTCACCCATTGGAATTTAAGTATCTTCAAAACTCATTCAAGCGTAATGTGTCCATGACTTAGGGCCTGATTACATGAGCCGGGCTGCTTTGGTGTGCCGAGATGACATTCAGCCTGGTATTACATGAAGCGAGCCAGCCCGGTTGATGGCTATGGTGATGAACCGCGGGAGACCGGAGCGAGCTTTGATTTTTTGGCGCGAAGAAGGCGCGAGCCTCTCGATGTATTATGGCGGGGAGTTGTACTTTTCAAAACTTGCACTACGAGAATGCGGCGAATGATTGAATTTGCCCTTTTCCAGCAGTTGGCTGACTTATCTTCTGCATTTATGCAGTTGCATGGACTGTGATATCTGTTTCTGCTATATAGAAAGAGGAATATTGATTTGTTGGTGACTCACTTTGCGCGGAAGAGAAATTTAATTGTTAAGAAGTGCAAAGAATTGAAACTTCGGCGGCTCCGACGAAAACAACGGACAAGATGCGTCAACGACGGGAGAACGGATCAATGCTGGCGGAACATGTTCTCAGGCGTATCACCGGAAGAAGATTGGAAGAAAAATTTTCGAATGACAAGACCAGAATTCGAAGATCTTTGCGAACAACTGCGACCCCGTATATTTCCAGACCCGAAATCCCCAAATGGCCGGGCACTTTCAGTTGAGAAGAAGGTGGCATTAACACTGTACTACCTGAAAGACACAGGGTCTATGTGGATGACTGCGAATACGTTTGGAATTCACCAGTGTACCGTTTCAAAAGTTGGTTCGGAAGTTTGCGACGCAATCACAAAGCATTTAGGACCAGAGTACATTCATTTGCCACGAACTGTAGAGGAGATGCAGAGAAAGGTTTCACAATTTGAGTTAAAGTTTGGTATGATACAGGCATTTGGATGCATTGATGGTACCCATGTTCCTATCAAAACACTATCCACTGACTCCCACGACTATTTTTGTTACAAGCAGTACTATTCACTCAATGTACAAGCGGTATGTGATTATCGTGGGATGTTCATAGACGTGGATTGCCGATGGTCAGGTTGTGTCCATGATGCAAAGGTATTTGCTAACTCAACCTTAAATCACAGGATGAGAAGTGGAAGTTTACCACAGACCTTCAACACGTTAAGTAATGAGTGTCACAAAGTTCCTAACTATGTCATAGGTGACCCAGTGTATCTCCTTACACCTTACTGCATGAAAGAATTCGAGTCATGCACAACCAACGCCCAAGTTTTGTTTAATGAGTTCTTGCGCTCTGCTTGTAACAAAATAGAGTGTGCTTTTGGACGACTTAAAGCTCGGTGGTCTATTCTAACAAGAAAGATCGACTTAAATACAGACATGGTCCCCACAGTAATTTATGCCTGCTTTGTTCTCCACAACTTTTGCGAGTCTTGTGGTGGCAGCCTTGACGAGGAAGCAGTTAAAGCACAGATGCGCCGAAACTAAATAGAGGAAGATATCAACAAAAACACTCCTGACCCCGTTTATTCTTGCACAACTGGTGAAGGTGTTGTGGTTAGAGACACCCTTGCCTCATTTATTGGTGAAATTGTCACCCACGAGTGACACAAAGAAAATATGGTGTATTCTTCATGTTTCAAATCATATATCCCTCAGTTCTACATTAATTTTAGAAGTAGCGAAATCATATGGTTATTCCCTTGATTTCCCCCTTGATCAGGTTGTGTTACTTTATATTATATGGTTCTGAAGATGTATTCTTGCTTTACCCTGTGAAGCCTTCAACGTGAAGCTTTTATCAAGATGATGTAAAAAACTGTGTAAATGGTTACATTAACTAAATAAAAAATTTAATCAGTAGTCAACATTTCATAATACAGTTCAATTAAATCTTTATGTACCAGTAATCAGTTAACCCTGCTTAATTTAGTGAGGTGTTAGATAAGTAGTTAATTACTTCACTGAAAAGAAATTCAAGCTCTTGAAACTTAAGTTTCAAATCCACATTTTCTGGTCAAGGGTGTGACTATACTCGCATCACGAAATAAAGAAACACGTTTTTCTCCATTACACCAGAGGGTACGGCTAAAGGTAGGATATATAACTTTAAAACCTTGCATAAAAATTCCCTTCAAAAGTTTGAACATTTTATTCTAATCTATCACTTGTCCACTTCTGAGATTCCCTTAGCCTTTTTATCAAAGCAAGGCATCAAAGCAACTAATATTTTCTTTAAGAACAAGGCTTAAGGTAATTGTGAGATGGCCTATTCATTTTCAATGTCTACTGCACTGTTGTGTTCATATACATATATCACCCCACATTATCCAGTTACTGGTGGATCTAGGGGAGGCCCCCTTTACTTTGTTTTATTTTTTTGGTAATTGTCCACGTATTCAGCCCAAACCCAAATTTTTCTATCTGGCTCAACATAGCTCAAGGTCTGGATCTGCTACTATTACCTTCCAGTGAACTTATTGAGAGAATGAAATGGAAATTCAAAGCAGACATATTAAACAAAACATTAAACCCTTCATTTCCAATTCTATTAACAATTTAGAAGATCTAAACATATCTTATGACTGTGAAATTATGTGATATCAAAAGTTCAGAACAAAAACAACAATTGCCTGCAACTAGCAGTCAATATTATTGGCTATTTAAAAAATTTTAACATTACAATCTGTGACAATAGCTTAAAGAGCAACTTGCAGTCTTTGGTTTGAACAGAATCGTTTCAATAATAACCAGAATGCTGTCTGTTATTACAAACTCATATAATGTAAAGTCAACTAGTTAGGCAAATACAACATCAGTACTTGTAATATTCTTAAAACATTAAAAGGTAAAAAGATGGCTGTCACCATCATCTTGCCTCAACTGTGAGTGATGACTGGATTGACCTATCATGCCCATGTGGCCTTCATGTAACCTTGGTGGTTGTGACATGAAAGGCACAGCTGTGTAAGACGGCTGAGTCATGCCTTGCTCAGGTAATGCAAGAGCATATGCTAACATCTCAAATAAACGACTCATGGTTTGAGCTATGCACATCATTGAGGAAGTTACTGCCTGCATGGACTGAGCAAAAACTTGATTTGACTGTAACATACTCTCAGCTAGATCTTTTCTTGACTTATTGTCTTCTCTTGACTCATCTATAAGAATTTGATCTCGCTTTGCTGACGACAACTGTCGCTCCATGTGCTTCCTCTTGTTATCGATTAATTGCACAACGGGACTTGAGGACCTTGGCCGTTTCAGACTTCTCGACTGGTCTGAAGAGGTTTCTCCACATTGCGGGGACTGATCAGCTTGAAATGGCAGGTCACTGGAGGTGTCGCTCGCGTTTTCTTCGCCAAGTTGTTTCTCATGGTTATGTAGTACACTTGATTGAACACCAAAGCTCAAAGGTTCCGTTGACGGCGATCCTCCCCATATCTTTACCATTAAATCATAGAACTCCATCACCAACTTTCCAGAACCACTTCTAGATCCTGTTGTCACAGCATTACAAAATTTTTGCCGCAATTCTTTTATCTTTTACATCACCCTGGAATAACCTTTCTTGATCAGCGCTTTCTCTGACTTGACTTTTTCCACCAACTCTTTACTCTGAGACTCCTCAACATCTTCAGGAATGGCAGTAGTTTCTTCTGGCCCAAACAAGTCAACATCGCCAGAAGAATACTTTCTCGCCATCGCCTTTCTCACTGCTTCATATTGCTTGTTTTTATCAACATTGAAGTCCACGTTGTGATACTCCATATTAGCTTTGAATTCACCGAGCGGGCGAAGAAGGTCGTCCACCATTCCTATCGTCCACTTAAATTTCGTGGCCGCCATGTTTGCATGAAATTGAGACCATTGCGCATGAGCATTGTATTACCCGCTGAGCTCTCGCTCGTTTAATGAGCCGGGCTGACCCGGTAAACGCAATTATATGAAAACATTTCAGCCCGGTTAGCCTGGATCCCGGCACCGCAATACCGGGATCTCGGCTCACCGGGCCAGCCCGATTGTCATGTAATCGCGAGGTTGATTTTTGTTGCGTTTGACAAACGTGGCGAGATCCCGGCAAACTGACACCAGCCCGGCTAACCGAGCCAGCCTGGCTCATGTAATCAGGCCCTTATTCACAGTTTCCTTTGATTCTGATATTGTATCGTAACCAGAAGGAAGGCATACGTAGCTGGGAACTTATTTCAGTTTTTCTTTCGTTGACTCTGCCCTCGCTCTTTTCAAGAGCATGCGAGCTACGAGGTTGGAGATACATCATTTAAAGAAATCGCTTTATGTCGCCGGCAATCATGTTTAAATCCTTTTGGGAATTATAACCATTTTGGAGAGGGTTCAAAAGTAATTTCTAAGATGTTACGGAATGACTTTGTGATTTTGTTTGTTTTTGCTCTCAGATGTCCGTTAGGTTAATGATTGACGGCAGCATGAAATGAAATCGAAATAAAGTGTGAGCCTCAGAGTTCGCATTTTATTGAAGAGCGTAGTATATGGAAAACATACCTGGAATAACGATACATTATTCCGGCATAACTGTTAGGTACCGTAATGCTCCAACATTTGGTCTCATTCTTACCAGATGTACCTGACACAGGATATACAAGGTTGCCACTGGTAGCTGTGATGTTTGTTATGCCATTGGGACAAACTATGGCGAAGACAAAGAGTAAGTTTAAATGTATATTTGCACGATCCTTCGCAGTAAAGCACTATTTAAGCAATAGTGAAAATCAGACCTGTTACGTACAGGCCTGAATTTTTTTCAGGTCTGATTTTCACTGTTGCTTAAATAGTGCTTTACTGCGAAGGATCGTGCACATATACGTTTCATAACCGCAGTTCATATATATGTATTTCATATATATTTGTTGTTTGATTTATCATCTACGGGTTTATGTCGAATTAATTTGATGGCCTGCTCCCAGTTGGCTTGTTAGCTCAATTGGTAGAGCGCTGCACTAGTATCGCAGAGGTCAGTGGTTCGAATCCCGTACAGGCCTGAAATTTTTTTCAGGTCTGATTTTCACTATTGCTTAAATAGTGCTTTACTGCGAAGGATCGTGCACATATACGTTTCATAACCGCAGTTCATATATATGTATTTCATATATATTTGTAGTAAGTTTAAATGTTGACTTCATTTCTCACCCAAATTCAGGGAACCTAGGGGAAAATATATACTTTAAGAAAGGAGTCACTCCAAGTCCTAGGTGGAGTGGCAAGTTACTAACTTTCCCGAGAGGGTTCAGCCTGCACGACAGGGTGCATTTCGAGCACATGTCAGGGAATTACATGTTGAACGAGTAAATGGGAAACCAAAAAGGGAATGCACAAGCACGACAACAGGAAAAATCCCGTGCAAGCCCATGGCTCGTGAATCATGTAGTTTGCAACCTGGTGAGGAGCAAAGTACTGAGGAAAGCACTTGTCATATTGTCAGCTTCAATTTCATGATTCACTTTGTATCCCATTTACAATTATTGCTTGTTTAATTTACTGTTATGAAAACTTTGGAGGGCGGATTTTTAGCAAACAGCTCGATAAAATCAGGGTTATTAACCTATATAGCCCATTTTCTGAAAACGGATGTGCTCTATTTTCTTAAAAATAACTGACTGTGCTTAATAAACTTTGGCAGCATAATTTTTAGAAGTGTCAAGCCTTAGACAGTCTACACACAAAAAAACAGATTTTGACATATTTCCATCATTCTAAATGACTCTGTTTGGGTGGTATTTCCATTGCTAAAATTTCCTATGACTGTCAAGCAAAGTAGATGCGGCTTTAATTACTTTTAGCAGTTGTAGGTGCACCGACAGATGAAAACGTGAACATTGTATGCCCAGCACGCGTAAAATTCTAGACGTGATTTTTCAAATCTAAATGTAAGGGAGAGGGTACATGTGCAAGTGATTTCCCTTTTTAATGGATTAGCCTAAGTCTTGAAATTTGTCAATTGATGAAGGCCTTATTTAGTATTGCGTGACGTCGCGTTGTACATGCTTGAACTTTAAGCTCAAGTTTGCTTTATCTTTGGGCTCGCGATTAGTGCGTGAAACTTGTGAAGATCGTCGATCGGGGAGTAGGTGGTAAGTTTGTAGTCGATATCTTTCCTCTAGTAATTACTATCACTGAACACTTTGAGTTGAAGAACCGTTGATACTGGAATCAACAATAATTATGAACTGAATAACAATTAATTTGTACACTTAAACCGAAACAATCAGGGTTTGAAACTTACGTGAATCGCATTGTCCTTTTTCAAGAATTAGTAATAAAGCTGAAAAAAGAAAAAATTCATTATTCGTTCGACTGAAAAAAGCTTGGATTTTATCTGTACTTTTTTTATGACGCATCAAGCACTTCTTTCTCTAATTGATTGAAATGGGCCATGGACCTTTGTTTATTCCATACGGTTTAATAGACCCAGCTAACCAAACTGAAATGAGCCCAAGAGATTTAATTTGCATCAAATA